TGGCGGGTGTTTTGTGTTGCCCTGTCATGTGGTGTGTATGGGGTTGTGGGTTGCATGTGGTGTGTATGGGCACAGGTGGTTGTGTTTATCTCTGTGTCATTGTGCATTGTCCTTTGGTGGTGTCGGGTGGCGCGTGTGTGTTGAGGTTGTGTGCTGCCTTGTGTTGCTCTGCCCTCGTTGTGTATTGTGGGACTGTTCAGCCCTGTGTTGTTGTTCGTTGCGGTGTGATGGGTGTGGGGTTGTGTGTAGTCCTGCATCATCGTGCTGTTGTGTGTTGCTGTGCGGAGCAGGGTTGTCTGTTGTGTGTCGCACTGTGTTGTATGCTGGGTGGGGTTGTGTACAGCACGGTGCATCTCCATGTGGGGTTGTGTTGTGTGTTGCCTTGTGTCAGTTGTGTTGAGTGTAGCTCTGTGTCATCACGTGTTCTCATGTGGGGTTGTGCATACCCTTGTGTTGTGGGTGTGTCATTGTGTGTCACTACACGAGGTTGGTTGTGCCTCGCCCTGTGTCCTTGTGTGTTGTGTCATTGGGGTTGTGTGTAGCACCATGTCCCTGTGTGTTGTGTATCACCACAAGGTCCTCTGTGTCGCCGTGTGGGGTCGTGTGTCGTCCTGTCCTCCTGTGTTGTGTGCATTCCATTGTGTGTCACACTATATTGTATGTGTTTGGGTGGGGTTATATGTAGCCCTGTGTGTTGTATGTCACTGTTGTCATGTGTTGTCGTGTGTGTTGTGTGCCACTGTGTTGCCCTGTGCCCCTGTGTGTAGTTGTGTGGGGTTGTGTGTTGCTGTGTTCCTGTGTGTATCTCCCTGTGTGTTGCTGTGTGCGTTTCCCTGTGTTTTGTGTTTCCCTGTGTCCTGGTGTGTTGTTGTGTGTCACTGTGTTGCCTTCTGTCCCTACGTGTTGTATGTCACTGTCATGTATTGCCATGTGTTGTGTGGGGTTATGTGTTGCCCTGTGTCCCTGTGTGTTGTGTCATCCTGTGTATTGTCCTGTGTGTTGTTGTGTGGGGTTGCGTTGCCTCGTGTCCATACGTGCTGTTGTGTGGGGTTGCGTGTTGCCCTGTTTCCCTATGTGTTGCATCTCCCTGTGTGTTGCCCTGCATCCTTGTGTGTTGTTGTGCGGTGCCTTGTGTCCCTGCGCATTGTGCTTACCCATGTCTCATTGTGTGTTACATGAAGCCATGGGCCCCTGTGTTACCCCATGGTGCAGCCCACAGCTGGCACCGGTGGCGTTGTGCTGTGTTGTGTACCCCCCCCTTCCGGAGCAAGGGCAGGTCAGAGCTGGGGGTGTCGGAGCAAGGGAGCGTGGGAAGGAGGAGGGGGGTGTCGGGTCCCTAGGGGAAGGGGGGGGCTCAGGTGTCTGGGGAGAGGGGGGAGTGGCCCAGACGCCTGGGTTCTGCATGTGCATGTCAGTCTGTCTGTCTGTCTGTGTGTATGTGTGTGCGCGCATGTCTAGCTCATGGGCGCCTAGGGTGTGGGTGTGTATCTTTCTCCCAGATGCCTTGGTTCTGTGTGTATGTGGGCCTGGATGCCTGGGTTCAGTGCGTGTCCATCTGTCTCCCAGACGCCTGGGTTGTCTTTGTGTGTGGGCCTGGGTTCAGTGTGCGTGTCCCAGATGCCTGTGTTGTGCGTCTCTGTGGGCCTGGACACCTGAGTTCTCTGTGTGTGTGTGTGTGGGCCCAGATGCCTGAGTTCAGTGTGTGTGTGTGTGTGTGTGTGTGTGTGTGTGTGTGTGTCTCCTGGACGCCTGGCTTCTGAGTGGGTTGTGTGTGTGTCTGGTGTGTCCGTCCAGATTCTTGGGTTCAGTGTGCATGTATCTGTCTTTCCCCCAGACACCTGAATTGCGTGTGTGTGTATGTCGGATGCCTGGGTTCCTTTTGTGCGCGTGTCTTTGTGGCTGTCTGTCTTTCTCTTGGATGCCTGGGAGGGTGTCTTTCTCCCAGACACCTGGATTGTGTGTGTGTGTGTGTATCTGTATCTGTCTCCTGGACGCCTGGCTCCTGGGTGTGTGTATCCGGATTCCTGGGTTCAGTGTGTTTGTTTGTGTCTGTCTTTCTCCCACATGCCTGGGTTGTGTGTGGGGAGGGGGGGCAGATGCCTGGGTTTCTTGTGTATGTGTATCATGGACACCTAGGTCCTGTGTGTGTCTCTCCCTGGTGCTAGGCTCTGGGTGTGTGTGTAGGCCCAGACACCTGGGTTCTCTGCCTGCACATGTGTGTGGAGAGGGGTGTGTCTGGGCATCGTGTGTGAGAGAGACTCGCAGTGTCATGGTGAGTGCGTGTGCATGAGTGTCTGGGCCATCAGTGTGTGAGAGGGGGGCACTGTATCTGTCTCTCTTCAGGATGTGTGTGTGGGGGGGGACGCCTGAGTTGTGTGTGTGCCTGTGTCCCGGACACCTGGGTTGTGTGTGCGTGTCCCAGATGCTATGTGTGTGCATGCATGTGTGCATGGGGATTGCCATGGGGCGGGGACGCCGGTGGGTGCCATCTGGAGCTCTGCCCCCCACTCCAGGCTCCGCCCCCTATCATGGTGAGTGATGTCACTACCTGATCAATACCTCCCCTATCACCCAGATCCATCCCATCCCCAATCCATCAACCTGCCAACAGCCAATCAGCTCCTGGTGGCCATGGTCTCCGGCCCGTCCGATTGCATCCTGGTTCACCGAGCGAATCCCGAGCCCGGCCACTGAGGGAGTCTCACATCCGGGTCATTGATCGGGCCTAGGGATCAATAGCCAATAACTGATTTTTTCCCCCCACCCTGTCCCCACAACCAATCACTGCTCAGCAGCTTGTGGCCCCACGCACCACTGGTCCCTGCTTCCATTAGGCCCTGCCTCCATGGGTGCCCTTCCAGCTCTTCAGGGGCCCTGACCTCAAGCCCCACCCTCCATGGCCAAGCCCTGCCCCCCAGCCCTTGGGTCCTGCCCCCGGGCCCCTGCCCCGCCCCCCTAGGCCTCCCTCTCGGTCCCTGAGACCCTTATCCTGTGAGGGAGCCCAGAGCTCACAGGTGAGGCCTTGGGAACTGGGCGGGCGGCCCCCCCCACCGGGCGGGGCAGGGGGCCCAGGTGTCTGGGCTCCTAACTCCCCTGGACCCCACTGCTGTCCTGGAGAACCCAGGTGTCTGGGCTCCCAGCCGCCCCCCTCAGAGAACCCAGATGTCTGGACTTCCCCCGGCACTGGTTGTACTGGGAATCCCATGCATCCTCTAGAACTGGTTTTAGTGGTCCCTTTGCTAGCCTGGCACTGGTTCTGCTGGGAGTCTCAAAAGGCCCAGCATTAGTTATGCTGGTCCCCCTCTGAACTGGTGATACTGGTTGCTCCCTAACTAGGCACTAATTATACTGGACCCCCACTCCTCTGAACTGGTGATACTGGTTGCTCCCTAACTAGGCACTAATTATACTGGACCCCCTCTCCTCTGAACTCGTGATACTGGTTGCTCTCTAGTTGCACACTGGTTATACTGGGCCCCCTCTCCTCTGAATTGGAGGTACTGGTTGCTGCTTAGCTGGGCACTGGTTAGACTGGGACCCCCTCTCCTCTGAAACTGGTGATACTGTTTGCTCCCTAACTGGGCGCTGGTTATAATGCCCCCACTCCCACCTCCTGAATTGGTGATACTGGTAATCCCGCCCTGCCCTGTGATGTCAATGGGCGGGGCTAGAACTGGCCACGCCCCCCACCTGGCACTGTTCCACCCCAGAGCCAGCCGCCCCCGGGGCAGAGCGCGGCCCTGGGGGCACTGGGCCATGCTGCGGGCGCTGCTGGTGGTAGTGGGAGCACTGGGGGAG